GGACACATGGACACATGGACACACGGACACGGGGAGCGGTGGCCGGGCCCGTCCGTACCCTCGGGGTCCAGCAGCTTGCTGAGCCCCAGGTGCTGCTCGGCCGTGTTGAAGGCCTGCTGGAGGTTGTAGGTGGCGTTGGACTTGGTCAGCTTCTGGAAGTCGACGAGATCCGGCCTGGGGCGGGGCGGACACGGTCACCTCACCCACCAAACCCTCCGAGATGCCCTCAACACCCAGGAGGTGTCCCCCGTGTCCGCCCCGCCGGCGCTGACCGGTGCCGGTGGATGAGGGCGTTGAAGGCCAGCCCGTCCCTCCAGCTGGTGGTGAAGTTCTGGATGTTGACCTCAGGGTAGCTGTGGAGGACACCGCGGGTCACCGGGGGTTCTCCAGACCTCCTGGTGGGTCCTCGGCACCACCCGAGGTCCTCACCCCGCCGTCTTCATCTGGCACCAGAGCAGCAGCGCGTCCTTGGCCGAGCGCGTCTCCCGGTTGTCCTCGGTCTTGATCTTGATCACCTGGATCTGGGGGAGGAACGGTCAGGAGACACCCGGGGGTGGTGGAGGAGGACGAGGAGGACAACCAGGGGGACACGGAGAAGACCCCGGTGGCACCTGGAAGCGCAGGATGATGGTCCAGATGAGGCCGAGGGTCAGGCGGTGGTTGCCGTCCACGATGTCGTGGGAGCCGACGTTCTCCAGGTGGACGCGCTGCTCCTTGAGGAACTGCAGGGCCTTGTCCACGTTCTCCAGGGAGTGGATCCGCATCCGGCCCCGCGTCGGCTTGGGCTGGGGGGACACGTGGACCTCTGGCTCAGAGAAGGTCCTGCCACCCCACCCCACCAGGACCAGGCCCACACTGGTGATGGTGGGAGCTGGAGATAGTCAGGAGGTCGCAGTTTGGTGATGGTGGGAGCTGGAAATGGGAGGAGGTCCCAGTTCCACCCATACTGGTGATGGTGGGAGCTGGAGATGGTCAGGAGGTCCCAGTTTGGTGATGGTGGGAGGTGGAGAAGCGAGGAGGTCACAGTTTGGTGATGGTGGGAGCTGGAGATGGTGAGGAGGTCCCAGTTTGGTGATGGTGGGAGGTGGAGAAGCGAGGAGGTCACAGTTTGGTGATGGTGGGAGCTGGAAATGGTGAGGAGGTCCCAGTTCCACCCAAACTGGTGATGGTGGGAGCTGGAGATGGTCAGGAGGTCCCAGTTCCACCCACACTGGTCATGGTGATGATGATGATGGTGGTGGTGATGATGGTGGTGGTGGTGATGATGATGGTGGTGGTGATGATGTTCATGAAGACGATGCTGCTCATGGCAGTGGCGACAATCACAATGATGATGATGATGATGATGATCCTCATGAGGACGGTCATGGAGATGATGAGGATGATGATGATGATCCTCATTATGATGGTCATGGAGATGATGATGATGATGATGATCCTCATTATGACGGTCATGGAGATGATGATGATGATGGTGATGATCCTCATGAGGACGGTCATGGAGATGATGATGATGATGATGATGATCCTCATGAGGACGGTCATGGAGATGATGAGGATGATGATGATGGTGATGATCCTCATGAGGACAGTCATGGAGATGATGAGGATGATGATGATGATGATCCTCATTATGATGGTCATGGAGATGATGATGCCAATGCTGGTGGTGATGATGACAGTGAAGATGACACTCATGCTGCCGATGATGACGATGATGACAACGATGACAGAAAATGACGATGATGATGCCACTCATGACCATGATGATGACGATGAAGACGATAGAGAACGACGACGACGACGACGACGACGACGACGACGACGATGATGATGATTATGATGATGATGATGATGCCTCTCATAGCGATGATGATGATGACGATGATGATGGAGAATGATGATGATGATGATGATGATGATGATGATGTCACTCATGACGATGATGATGATAATGAGGAAGACAATAGAGAACGATGATGATGATGTCATTCATGATAATGATGAAGATGATGGACAATGATGGAGAATGATGATGATGATGATGCCACTCATGACGGTGACGATGATGATGATGAAGACAATAGAGAATGCCGATGATGATGATGATGCCTCTCATGGCGATGATGATGATGATGATGAAGATGATAGAGAACAATGATGATGATGATGATGATGATGATGAAGATAGAGAATGATGATGATGATGATGATGATGATGCCTCTCATGGTGACGATGATGATGGTGAAGACGACAGAGAATGATGATGATCATGCCACTCATGATGATGATGACGATGATGATGAAGATGACAGAGACTGATGATGATGATGCCTCTCATGGTGACGATGACGATGATGAGGAAGACGACAGAGAACGATGATGATGATGATGATGATGATGAAGATAGAGAATGATGATGATGATGATGATGATGATGATGATGATGATGATGATGCCTCTCATGGTGACAATGATGATGATGAAGATGACAGAGAATGATGATGATCATGCCACTCATGATGATGATGATGACGATGATGAGGAAGACAACAGAGAACGATGATGATGATGATGATGATGATGATGCTCTTCATGACGATGATGATGATAATAGAGAATGATGATAATTATGATGATGATGATGATGATGATGATGAAGATGACAGAGAACGATGATGATGATGCCACTCATGACGATGATGACGATGATGAGGAAGACGATAGAGAGCGATGATGATGATGATGCCCCTCATGGCGATGATGATGGAGAACGATGACGATGATGCCACTCATGATGATGATGGTGATGATGAAGATGGCAGAGAACGACAATGATGATGATGATGATGATGATGATGATGATGATGCCTCCCATGGCGATGATGATGATGATGAAGACAATAGAGAACAACGATGATGATGATGAAGATGAAGATGATGATGATGCACCACTCATGGCAATGACGACAGCAGAAAATGGCAATGATGACGATGACGATGAAGATGAAGATGATGATGAAGATGACCA